CTAGCCTGCATGACCGAGGAACTCCATGCCAGACAGCAGACCTGTGGGATGTCTTTCTGGCTCACAATGGATCACCCACCTCCACAGATGTCCCCCAAATGAATACACCATTATTAATGTGTCTTCAGTATTCAGTTATACTGTATGCCCTCCTCACCAGTGTGTCAGAGCCATTATCACAAGCTATTGAAGCTGCAGGATTATGCAGTGAGAAATTCAGCTATCATAAGAAGGCCAACCCACCAGAGTCAAGGGTTCTGATGGAATATGTAGACCAAGAATGCAAGGTGTATTGGAATTATTGCCTTTTGAGTGAATTGGCTGTTTCTGGTTGTAGATTTCCTGTGCAATTACAGCTATGATATCTCCCCATTACCAAACATCTTCATGTAATGTGTATATGTAATCTCATGATTACATCTCAATCTTATGGGCATACACATATCCGTGGATGGTCAGAAAGATGACCTCTCTTTAAGCTGTACAGTTTTGATATATAGAAAATATACTAGGACATGCTTTGTAACTACATCTATTGTCCCACGAGACTGTAGACACTTAAAGCCTGCCTTGTTCCTTTTACTCAGACTAACAAAAATAACAATCTTGCCGTGCGGTGGTGGTGCACGCCTTTAATCCCAACACTCGGGAGGCAGAGGCAGGCGGATCTCTGTGAGTTCGAGGCCAGCCTGGTCTCCAAAGCGAGTTCCAGAAAAGGCGCAAAGCTACACAGAGAAACCCTGTCTCGAAAAACCAAAATAAATAAATAAATAAATAATAAAATAAAATAAAAATAACAATCTCACCTCATTCTAACACAAACTGCACACATTGAGCTCACATTTACCTTAGAGCAAATTCAAACTAGACTAAAAGTCTTTGTAAATAGATCCTAAGTTTAAAACTTTACAGTTATGCGCAAGGTCAGAGTCACAGGTGTCTACCAAGATCCCTAACACACAGCACCTAAGAAAAGCATGCTGAGTCTTCGCTTACCAAGTCTGCTGACAACAGACCTATGTCTCAAAGTTTGTCTCATTTGGGCACCGTGGCCCTCCCTCTTACTCCTGAAACCTTGAAAATGTGTGTAGCCATGGTAAATGGCTGGGCTCTTTATCGCCAACCCTGGGAATGTACTTTTGATTGATGAGAGGCGACACTTGCAACTTTTCCTATTGCTCTTTCACAGCCTCCTGTGAAAGAAGAATCATTAGGCAGGAAGATGAGAACAGAGAATTAGAGCTAGGAAATTATAGACAATGAAGCCAAGAAAATGAGGAGAATAAAGAAGCACGCACAGAAAGAGCATGATGGGAATTGGTTTAATTTTGCCCTCAGGTACTTAGTTTTTCCTGAACCCTAAAAGAAGGCAATAAGGCTGGTCCTGAAAAGGTCATTACCAGTGGGTGTGCCCACTTGGACTTAGAAAGAACAAGGACTGGGGACTGGCAGGCTATCCTCAGTGTCCACAAACATCCAAAAGCTTGCAGTTTCCTTCTGCCTGACTCACAGAAGAACAAGCAATGCCAATGGGTGACAGCAAAGAAATGTAAACACAGGAAGAAACTGTTGGAAGACATAATAGCAAGTGCTGTAAGTCTTCATTTCTGAGTCAGCCACAAACATGAGCCTGATAATATTATTTCATCATCAAAAATATAACTCACATTCCCCTTGTCTTTCACTGGTCTCTATGCTGTTATGGGGGGGGGGCAGGGGATATCCTGATACGGTAACCCAAACCTTTCATAACTGAGAAATCTGATTGCTTTGCAGTCATGTTTATATGATTGTTCTCAGGGGTCACTAAATGCTGTCACACCAATGTGGCAACTTCAGAGTCCTCCTAAGGAGATCTTGCCATTGTCCTCTCTGCTATCATTGTGTAGAAGAAAAAATTATTTATCTATTGACAGTCAAAGTCACAAGACATAGGATAGGAGAAATGGTGGATGGCTAAGAGTTTATGCTGGATAAGCACTGGAGGGCCCCTGTTGCAAATCACCCTCTGGAGCGATGGAAGGATCTTTCTATTGGCACTTGGAGGAGACCCGATCCGGTGTTGGTGTGGACCGGGGGTTCTGTTTATGTCTTTCCTCAGGACAATGAGGTTCCTCTTTAGATTCCTGACCGCTGAGTCTGCCCTGTGGTGCACTCTGGGATGACAGAGACCTATTGGGCCTTCGTGAAAAACTCTCCCCTTCTGATACCAATGGGTATTGAGAGCCCAATATGGCCAGCTTTGGCAAGCATTAACATAAGCCTAGGAACTGTAGCCATGCGGTTGGATTCTCCAGAAGGTAATGTATGGTAACTGCTTTTCCAAGTGTGTTTGAGAAAGTATCAACCCAGACACCTTGGAGAGTAAGGATAACCCTGAAGGTCACTGACCTCCATTTGTTAACAGTAGCATGCCATCTAAGCTTTTCATTTTCAAAATCCTCTTCAAGCTGGTGTAGTACCTACTTTTCAGGCGTGGCTCTGTGCAACATTTATTGGCCTCCTGAAATTCACTTAGCCCCATTTAAATTTAAGATACCTTAAAATTTATGAGCCTAAATGTAGCCATTATAAGACCATTAGTTATGCTCCTTGTGAGCTGCCTGTTTTTCTTTATGGTTCTTAGTTGTTCTTTTGCAGAGCTGCCAGCCTAAGTCGTGCTGGAATCAAGAAAAATGGGCCTTGGCGGTTTGTGTTCCTGGAGTTGTATCCATGCCAGTGGATGCCCACACACTCCAGAAGAGAATTTGACATTGCTGCTGCTGCTGTTGCTGTTGCTGTTATAGCAGTGGTGGCCACTGCTGCTACTGTTTCTGGGATTACCATTTCATAATTGCTTACTACAGCTAGCACAGTGGAGACCCTGGCAGCAAAAGTAGCTACTACAGTTAGTTAATCTTCCATTCTATTGGGCATGATAAATTCAATTCAGTAGTTATATACATCTCGATTGGCTTTGAAAATTATAAATTTATAAACTCAAGTTCTATTTGCTTTTGGGATACCATCTTACAAGGATTCCAATTTGCAGTAAGGCTTGTAAAGGAAGGGAATAGCTCAGTTGCCTTTAGCCTACTGGCTATGGGTGGGTTAGGACTTCTGTTGGTCTTTTCTGTGTTGAACACACAGATTGCAAGCCCAGTGCCACTTTGAGATCTTTGGCAGCAGTTAACCCTACAGCTCACACACGATTGAGCCTGTATGATAATGAGTATTCAAAGATGGGTAATGCCTGGGGGGAGGCTCACCAACCTAAGACAGAGCACCTGTGTGGCCTGGGCAGGCATCTCCATGATGGGTAAGGTGACCTGCTGAGGTCCCACACAACCTAAGTCAGAAGCTCATTTATTAGTAAAAGGGGGACCTGTAGGGCCCTGGCCCCCGTTTTGGGTAACTGTTGCCTTGCTTGCTGACCTTGACCTTGATATCCTCCCTATGCTAATTCCCTCCTGGGTTCTACCCTCCTGAATGCTTAAGGGACGTTCCTTGTATATATATATCCTGCATAATGGGCGTTAACAGCTTAGATGCAAGATTTTAAAACATCAATAGCGAACTTCTGCCCTCCGGGGTTCTCCCATTGTGCTGTAAGCCTGTATTTAAGACCTCCTCCCTCCTTCAATAAACAGCATTAGGCTTTAAAACAACAACAACAAAAAAGAATTTATGCTGCTCTTCCAGAGAGCCCAAGTTCTGTAGCCAGCACCTATATGGGGCAGCTCACAATGGCCTGTAAGCTCAGCTCTGTGGGATCCAATGCCTTCTTCTGGCCTCTGAGGGCATCTGTAAGGGTATGGCAGTGTGCATGCGTGCATGAGTGAATGCATGCATGCGTGCGTGCGTGCGTGCGTGCGTGCGTGTGCGTGCATGTGTGTGTGTGTGTGCGCGCGCGCGCGCACAGATATAAAAATAGATCTTTTAAAAAATAGCATAACACACTAGAATCACAGGATCTCTTTTGGGGGTAGTTTATTTGTTAAAAAATAAAGCCCAAATTAGGTGATGAGAAACATCAGTGGAGTCCAGCCTGCTCGGGATGTGAGGTAAAGGTATTGAAGTCTAGGAGAGCTGTCCCCTGCGCTCCTTTTCCTTGCCCAGCTAAGCCTCTGGCAGAAGAAAGTCCAGCATGTGTCACCAGCTGGTGTGAATGTTATCATGCAAAACAGCACTGTGAAATCACAGGCCAGTCTAACGGTGCCAAGACTGCACTGTTACAGGAGGTGGCTGGGTCAGTAACGTGTATGTCACACGAGAATGAGGAACTGAGTTCATGCCCCCCCCACGCACCTGCGGAAAAGGAAAAGACAGCTGCAGTAACAGGAGGACCCCTGGAACTCATCACCTAGGCAGGCTACACTAGTCAGTAACTCCCAGGTTCAGGGAGAGACCTTGTCTCAAAAAATTAGGTGTTAGTACACACCTTTGGTCCTGACACTTGGGACCCAAGGTAGGTGAAACTCTCTGAGTTCAAGGCCAGCCTGGTGTGGTCTACATAGGGACCAGGCCAGATAGAGCTACACAAGAAGACCCTGTCTCCAAAAAAATATAACAATAAAATAAAATAAAAGGTGGAAAACAACTGAGGAAGACTTTCAAAGTTGACCTCTGGTCTCCCCATGTGTAAGCGTGGATAGCACACATGCACTATCTGTGCACACATATATACAGAGAGAAGGGGAGGAGGAAGGGAGGGAGGGAGGGAGGGAGGGAGAGAGGGGGTGGGGGAGAGGCTGTTTCTCTATTCCATTAAACCAGCAGCTTCTGGTACACATAAACACATTGACTCCTCCCACAGCCTTACCTCCTGCATTAACTATCTATCCGCTCCGCTGTTCAGTAACCAATTATTCTCTATGGTAGTTATTTATCAGCGCTCTTACCCTGGGAGGAAATGTCACAAAACACCACAGAATCCACTAACAAGAGTTTTATTAAGATAAGAGAGAAAGATGTACTCAGGCCTGTGGGAAAGACACGTGAATAAAGAGATGGAGGCCAGGAATATGGCGCCGCTTATAAAGGCTGTGCACACAGGCCCATGTGGCTTCTCCATGCATGCACGCTTTAGGCAACCACGCAAAGCCATGGGGTCCTGGTCACAGGAGACATTTTGACCTGGAACTGGCTAGTCAGAAGTGACTAGGTTGGCCAGGCATGAGTGAACATGCCCAACCATGGGGCCATGTTGTGAATCCCTATCATCCCGGACTCTTGTTTTTTTTAAAAAAAAAAAAAAAAAGAAAAGAAAAGAAAAAATGGTGGATAAGTGGGTATGGGGCATCGGTTCTCTCAAAGACTGCTTCCGGCTGAATGGTGGGCCTCGGTTGGCTCTTGGGGAATGGGGAGGGTAGCTTCTGAAGTCCTGGGATGATGGTGGGGGTCCTGGAATCAAGTTCTGTCGTCCCTTGTTCTGCAGCTGTCCATCCTTCGTGGTGTGGCTGGGAACCTTTTGTCTGACAAGATACTGGTGACAGAAAAAGCTTAGAGAGAAAAAAATCATCATTATTTTATTTTTTGGACTTGACATTTACCTGAGGTAGATCTGGCCTGTCCAGATGGAGACATGTTAAAAAAGATAGCAGTGGTAGAATTAATGATTATTATGGTGTTTTAGTACTCTGCTTAATTTTTTACCTGAGACAAGCTTTATTAGAGGTAGTTTATTTAAGGCACCTGTTTCCTTCATTAGTTTAGCATTCAGGGAATACAGGTGATCAGTTGCTGAGTATTTAACAATGATAGATTGTTACATTACATTTTATTTGTGACGGTCCTTTTGCCTCCGGCTCTGTGTGGCCCTGGTTGGGAAAGGAAGGGGTGATACTTTATTCCTCTGGAACTGGTGACAAGGCAGTGGATCCCGATGTCCTCTGGAGCTTGAGAGTACAAGGCCCTGTTTGTTTTACTGTATATGAAGAGAGATAGATTTTTTGGGGGGATGGAGGTGAGATAAAAGGTTTTAGATGAGACAGGTGGACCCAGTGAGGAAAGCCCTCAAGTTTAGCAGCTGTAAGAGTCACAAGAATTACCTTGAAGGGTCCCTGCCACTTAGGGGGAAGGGGTGAAGGGTGCTGGCCTGGAGGAAAGAAAAGAACCTGATCCCCGATGTGGATTGGAGGTGGACAATTATTGTCACACGGCTGAGGTAATGAACAGTCTGCATAGCTCCATAGGATAGACCTTAGGTGACATAAAAGGGGAGTTAATTGGCTATCTGGAACAGCTGGAGGGTTGAATAGAAGACCTGGTGTTAGAACTGGCCTTCCATACATTAGTTCAAATGGAAAAATTGAAAGAGGCTTTTTAGGAAGAGCCCTGAACCTGAGGAGAGCTAGAGGCAATAATCTTACCCAGTCAAGGTGAAGTTCCTGTGACATCTTAGTAAAAATAGTTTTTAAAGACCGGTTGGTATGCTCCACCTTTCCTGAGGATTGAGGACGGTATGGGATATGAAAATTTCAAGGAATGTTAAGGGCCTTAGCTAGTGTCTGAGAAGTCTGAGAGGTGAACTCCAGGCCATTGTCAGACTGAAGAGAAGCAGGAACCCCAAACCGAGGAATAATTTCTCGGAGAAGAAGGTCTGCAACTGTCTGAGCCCGCTTATTAGAAACTGGATATGCCTCCACCCAATTTGAAAATGAGTCCACCATCACGAGGAGATATTTAACTTTCCTGACAGTGGGCTCAAGCTGCCAGCCGGGCGGTGGTGGCGCATGCCTTTAATCCCAGCACTCGGGAGGCAGAGGCAGGTGGATCCCTGTGGGTTCGAGGCCAGCCTGGTCTACAAAGTGAGTTCCAGGAAAGGCGCAAAGCTACACAGGGAAACCCTGTCTCGAAAAAACCAAAAAAAAAAAAATCGAGCTGCCAATCAGTCCCTGGAAGGGAACCTCTAGCCTGGTGGGTGGGAAAAGGCTGACTCCTGTACTTGGTATTGGGATCTGTTTTTTGGCAGATCTCACAAGAGGCAGTAATAGTTTTTAAGAACTGTAAGCCCTCAGAGGTGGGCTGCAGGTGAGCTTTTATGAATTGAGACAGAGCAAGATTATTAGGATGAAAGAGCTGGTGTAGATAGGAAAGAATTTGCCTAGTGTCAGGAGTTCCCTGCGAAGGTGTATGCTGTACTGCATGGATTCCCTGTGGTGGATGAGGTGAGACTTGGCCCTTGAGGGCCGCTGTCCTGGCTGCCTGGTCAGTCCGGCTATTTCCCTTAGAGATGATAGAGCTATTGGTCTTATGAAACCGGCAGTGGACAATTCCTGTAGCCTTTGGGAGGTGGGAAGCCTCCAGCATGGCCATTATTTGGCCTGAGTTAGATGTGGATCCCCCTTTTGCTGTGAGAAGACCACGCTCCCTCCAAATAGCAGTGTGGGACAGGAGGATATGAAAAGCATATTTGGAGTCTGTGTAAACATTTAGAGATTGTCCCTTTGCCAATTGGAAGGCACGGGTGAGAGCTATCAGCTCAACCTGTTGGTTAGTGGTGTGTTCAGGTAATGCCTGTGCCTCTATTATCTCAATATCTGACACTATGGCCTGCTTTATGGGTCCCTTCATATAAAAAGGAGCTGCCATCTGTGTACCAGGTATAAGTAGCCTGAGGCAATGAGCCCTCCTGTATGTGTGAAGGGTGAGGTAACAGTTCCTCTAAGGTTTCAGTGCAGGAATGAGAAGGAGAATAGTCAGCATTAGGTTGAGGGAAGAGGTTTGAAATATTAAGAGGTGGACAAGTCCAGAAAGTAAATGTGGCATCCTCTAGTAATGCCACCTGGAGAGAAAGAATTCGGGAAGGAGGTAAAGTTTGTAAGCCTTTATAAGCTAAGGTATGGGACATGTTGTGGTGAGAGAAAACAGTAATGGATGACCCAAAGCTTAGTTTCTTTGATTCCCGAATAAGGAGCTCTGCAGCTGCTAAGGCACGGATGCAAGGTGCCCAGCCCTGACTGGTAAGGTCTAACTTCTTTGACAGATAGGCTACAGGTGCAAAGGAGGGTCCCAGCTGATGCCCTAGAGTCCCAGGGCAAATCCCTCCTTCTCTGTTACATAGAGGGAGAAGGGACGGGTCTGGTCTAGAAGATGAAGCGCTGGGGCCTGAAGAAAAGCCTGTTGGAGCTTCTGGAAAGGTTTAGTGACAGGATGAAGGAGGAGCTTATGTGGCAAGCCCTGAGCTGCCTCGTATAAGGGGCAAGCAAGGAGAGAAAAAGATGGAACCCAAGACCGTAGGAAGCCAGAATCTCCTGTTTAGTAGAAGGGACTGTAAGAGACTGTGTTAGACGCTTTCTCTCTACAGTAATAGCCTTGTGGGTTGGAGTAATAGTTAGACCCAAATAAGTGACCTGGGGAGTTGACAACTGAACTTTAGATGGAGATACCCTGTAACCTCGGCTGGATAAGAAATTTAGGAGAGCAGAGGTGTTAGTTTGGCTAACCTGTAAGGACGGGCTACAGAGTAAAATATCCTCTACATACTGTATTAACTTAGAGCCAGGAAGAGACAGAGAAAGCAGGTCAGAAGCCAGAGCCTAACCAGATAGGTGTGGACTGTCTCTGAATCCCTGTGGCAGAACAGTCCAGGTCAGCTGTGTGGACAGGTGAGTGTCAGGGTCAGTCCAGGTGAAAGCAAAGATATTTTGAGACTGAGGATAGAAAAGAAGGCGTCTTTGAGATCTAGAACTGAGAAGTGAGAGGTTCCTGAAGGGACAGTGGACAGGAGAGTATAAGGGTTAGGCACTACAGGATGGAGGGGGACCACTGCAGAGTTAATGAGCCGGAGGTCTTGAACCAGGTGATAGGTTCCATTAGACTTTTTAACTGCAAGTATGGGGGTGTTAAAAGATGAAGAGGTTGGGTGGAGCAGCTTTTTCCTGAGGTCAGAAATGATAGGCTTAAGTCCTCTTAGGCTCTGGAGTGAGAGAGGGTACTGAGCTTGGGTGATATATCTGGTAGGGTCCTGTAACTGGATAGTAATAGGCTGATGGTGCCTAGCGATAGAAGGGTTCTGGGTATCCCAGACTTTTGGGTCTACCTGAGAGGCTGGCAGGGGAAAAGAACTGTTAGAGTCAGCAGAGTGAGTGGCTAGGAGAAGGAGGAGGGGAGCTGCTGGCGCGTCTGCGATTAGGCGAATGTGGGAAGTGAAAGAAATGGACGCTCCTACTTTAGCTAGAAGATCCCTTCCCATTAAAGGTCCAGGGCAGCTGGGCACCACTAAGAATGTGTGTGTGAGAGAGATGCCTCTGAAAATGCAGTTAAGTGGTGGTGTCTGATGAGGTAGGTAAGGCTGTCCCCCAACCCCAACAATAGGGAGACGAAAAGGAGAGGTAGGCCCCCAAAACTCTCTCAGGACAGAGTAGGTAGCTCTGGTGTCCAAAAGGAACGAGATGGGGCGCCCATTTACTTTTATTATTACCTTTGGTTCCTTGTGTGAGATGGGAGTGGCAGGGGCGGGAACCGGGTAGCATCAGTCATCACTGTAGGCCCAGCCTAGAAATCAGCAGGAGGGCGGTCTTCGTCTGGCATTCCTATGTCGCTTGGGACATTAGGACAGTCAGCTGACCTGTGACCCTTTTGGCAACATTTTGGACAAGGCCCTGTCGGTGCCCTTCGTGGGGCGGTGGTGCAAGCCCGGGCCCAGTGGCCTTCTTTCTCGAACTTGAAACAGGGACCAGATGGCTTTCAGGGAGCCGGGCGGATGGTGCTCGCCAGCATCTGGAAGCTCCTTTTCTGGGCTTTTTCATCCCTCCCCTGGTACACCTTAAATGCTATCGCCAGCACATCTGCCTGTGAGGTCAGAGGGCCGTTCTCCAAACGTTCAAGTTTATCCCTAATGTCGGGGAAGCTCTGTGAGACAAAGTGGGTCATCAGGAGCTGCCTGCCCTCAGGGCTCTCCGGGTCTAAGCTAGTGAACTGAAGTAGAGCCTTGGTGAGGTGCTCCAAGAGGTGAGATGGATTTTCGTCCTTATCTTGAATTATCATTTTTAGTTTTTCATAGTTTACTGGTTTTAGGGCAGCCTTACTGAGGCCTGTCAGGAGACAGGTAATAAACCTATCTCTGGCTAGACAGCCACCCTGGGTGTTATAGTCCCAGTGTGGCTCTTGGTCAGGAACTGCCTCAGCTCCTGGAGGATGTGAGGGATTAGTCTGGTGAACCTCATCTGCATGAGTTCTAGCCTGTTCCCATACCCGCCTGCGCTCCTCAGGAAATAAATTATTAGAAAAGTATCATGTATATATCATGAAAGGTGAGACTATAAGATTGAGTTATATATTGAAACTGTTTAATAAAGGAAGCCGAATTAGAAGCATAAGAACCCAGCTAGGCAGTGGTGGCGCACGCCTTTAATCCCAACACTCGGGAGGCAGAGCCAGGCAGATCTCTGTGAGTTCGAAGCCAGCCTGGTCTACCAAGTGAGATCCAGGAAAGTCACAAAGCTACACAGAGAAACCCTGTCTCGAAAAACCAAAAAGAAGAAGAAGAAGAAGAAGA